GTGCTTCACCGAGGACGACAAGGCAATCATCCGACGTGATGTTGAAAGCCGAAAGAGGAAAGCAAAGTCATCCAAAGACGTCGAAGACGAGGACTACATGGATGTGGATGATGAAGATATTGAACTTCCCGAAGAAGAGCCGGAACTAGGAGGTAAGGTACCACCTCACTCTCCGAGAGCCAAAGGTAGGCCACATTCGTCAGACTCTGCAAAAGAGGAATACGCGAAAGCGGTCGAGGCAACCAAGAAGGCCTTTGGGAACGCCAGTTTCGTCACCAGATTCAAAGAGCCCGTCGACCTCTTTGACATTGCCGATGACAAAGAAGGAGGAGAGTACAGGGTCGCAAATCACAGGGTTGATAGATCAGGTCCTAATGGAAAGTGGGAACTTGATGCACTTATTCAGGAGGCTGCAGCACTCGGAATAAAGATGCCCAAAGTGAAGGACCTTGCTCCTGACCCACAACAAGCTCAAAAGGTTGGATATCGGCAGATTGAGGTGACTTGCGATAGAGGAAGCATCGAGATAATTCCACAGTATGGAGTTACATTCTATGTGGAGTACTGGAATGGACCGAAGAGAGATGCAACTTTCACGGATCCACCAAAGATGAACCCAGCAACTCGCATCGACAAGTTCAGCGAGGAGAGTCAGCGGGTCAACGAGGTTAGCCATAGACTCAATAGACTACTCAGGCATGGAGTGGGAAAGCATAATGGGATTCAATCGCACCGCGGTCGAAAACCTCATGTGTCCAATGAGGGTGGATGGGTGAACATCGATGAGATCCTGGAATATGACCATGTCTTCAACGATGGTGTCGATATCAGTACTATCTCAGATGATCAACGTGAGCAAAATGTCAAGACAGAGCGATACCAGGATTTATGCAAGGCGATGTGGCATGCAAAGAAGTTGCAGAACAGAGTACGCTATCAGATTGCCGCCATTCGTATCTCAAGGGAGGATGTCTCACTCGAAGAGGAAAGGCAATACTGGGCAAACCTCATGTATTACAGCACAGATGCACCGTCATTTCTGAAGCATGAACGTTGGATCGTTCCTTGTGCAATTCGAGCTGTTGCCTCTCACAATTCTGGAAGAGAGACTGTTCTTGAAGAGGATGTGTCAATATATCCTGTGTGGACTTCACATCTCATTCCAGAGAATGTGGCAATGCAGCTTGGAGGAAGCTTTCACATGACATCGCTTTCCAATATTGAGTCACTCATGAAACTAGGAATTGTCCCTGGTGGAACGGAGGGATATAGAGGTAGTGTTTTCTTCAACCACTTTGCGCCGTGGGATGATCGATCATCAAAGATTCTGAGATCAAGATGGCCAAGAGTGGGAATGCCCGTTTGCCTTTATGTTCCAATCATGACTTTGAGGAAGCTTGGGGGAAGAATTTCGGAGAATTCCTACACTGTTGTTTTTAGAGAAGTTCCATGGAGATGTGTACGAGGTGCTTGGTATTGGGACGACTACGTTCAGGCATGGAGGAGACTCCTGCTGGGAAGCACTGGAGAGCAAGTTGTTCTAGCGGCACGTCATGGACTTTGGGTTGCTCAGAAGCATACCATCCTCGAGAGAGCCGACGAAGTCACGAAGTCAGCCTCGGCGACAGATGACAACGTCCAAAAGCTCGTGTCCCTTATCGATGAAGTACAATTCGATGACAATGGAGAGCTGATCGAGGATTCCATCAGTGAGGAAACTTGGGACGAAATCATCTCCAGAACATGTGAAGGGTATCGCAACGTGGATGGCAATATTTTGTGTCCATCATGTATGCATTTGACTTCTTCATCTTTGTCCGTGTGTCTATCTTGTCAAGGCAGGCTACTCTCGTGTGGTATTCGCAACACTGTCATTTCCGATTCACCCGTTGATCTTGTGAGCGACGATGAAGAGGAAAAGAAGGAAGAGAAGGAGCCTGAAGATGATGATCAAGATATCTTGGACCAGGCCACTATGGACGAGATCAGAAAGGCTTGGGAAGAAGACATCGCTCAAACTGAAGCAGCTGACGACGACGAGGACATGGACAATCTAGATCCTCCCAAACCGTCTGATGGTGCAGAAAACTTCAAGAGTGACAATGTCGAGACCCCATCTTTCAATGAGGACGAGATCGACTACGATCGTGATTCTGATCTAGAAGATGAAGACGAACGAAACGTGATCATCGAGATCCAGAGGAGCACACAACAATATGAGGGGAAGAAATGTCAAGATGGTGAACCCGAGGATGAAGACGTCACCGACGACTTACATCCGGAGGCGAATCGACCGACAGATCGTGATGAACCGGGATACTATGCACAGCATGGAGCGACCGAGTTCAATCCCGAAGAAGGAAGAGACAACGAAGATCTCCCCATCTATTGTCGAGTACCGGAACCTCGAATCTATGCGCATCAAGAGAGAGCCTACTGTCAGGACGTCTCCGTGAATGCATCGGGTTTGATGGATAGGTATGTGGTCAAATGTGTGCTGAACATGATCTCCCTGATGTACAAGAGCTACTATTGCACCAGCCTTACCGACTTCAAAGCAAATTGGAAAAGGAAGCGACTGGATGTGATAAGCAAGTTCGGTACAGAGGATTTCACTGAAATCGATGACGATGGGAGACCATTGGATCCAACAGATGACATGATGAGAATCTTTGCCAACGAAAACAAGATTACGATTGAGGAGGCCTGGCACCGATTCAGAGGAGAGCAATTCATTTGCAAGGTGGCACTCGTGATCCTATCATTTGGTCATACTCCGTACTCCTTCAAGAAGGAATATGGCAACTTCGAATACTCCACCAACTTGACTGACGTCCAGCTTGAGGAGTTGAAAGCGAAGAAAGCCAGCGCAATGACTGAATTGGTACAGAAGTGCATCCATGCGATTTATGGGTGTCGGACATATTCTTACTTTAGAACCGACGTTACATCACCCTACCACAAGGTGATCGATCCTCTGGACATCATGTACTCGAGAATGAAGAGCAAGTGGGAGAAGTCTATTCTGTTGATCATTGATCAACATGAGATCAGGTTGCCCCCACACGCTCAGAATGTCGTAGAGTCAATGGCCAGAAATCCCAATATTGGACATACAGAGAGATGGATGAGCGTGGTAGAACAGAAGCATGTTCAAGCTCTTACCGATCGTCTAGGCTTTGGAGATAGGGCCAAGGAGATTCAGGGCAAGAAGAAGCAGGCAGCCAAGGCAACAGCTAAGTCAACATCAACGACTAAGTCTGAAGCGAAAGCAGCATCTTCGTCAAGAGCTGAGGCAAAGCCAGCATCTACACCCAGAACCGAGGCCAAGCCGTCGTCAGCACCAAGTGAGGAGCCAAAACCTTCAACAGCACCTAAGAGTTTCGGGCCCTCATCAGCAGAGGAGAGCAAGGCGAAGGCTGCTCCAAAAGCCAGACCACATGATAAATCACCATCCAGTGCTACCGATGTGTTTGAGCAAGCTTTGCAGGAAGATCTTGCCGCCAACGCACATGCAGCAGAAGGTACAACTTCTTCATCATCCCGAGGACATTCCAAAGGAGGAGGCCAATCTGGAACATCTTGGAGGCCGGCGCTAACGCAAGAACGTCGCGAAGTACCTCAACCTTCTGAAAAGGGGAAGGGAAAGAGCAAGTCCAAGGGAAAGTCCAAGAAGGGAGAAGATGATCGGCGGGATGCTCAGGGCAGCTGGGATCATCGTGGATGGAGAGGTTATCGCCAGTGGTGATTTCTTTGAACGACTATGAGGATACCATGCAAACCAGGGAGGAAGTCATTCACCGGATGTCTATCTGATCTGAAACGCTGTAAGTGTATCATTGCAAATCATCGGATTGACGATTTGATACCATGAGCATAATGGAAGGTAGACAGTCACCGACTGTCTCTCCGACTTGCCGTTCTGTAAGTGTATCCAAACCAAAACCTACATCTTTTGAGAAGTGTGAAGTCAGTTGCCGATGTGACATCTACGTGGAAGTCACCAGTTCGGATCTACATCAAAGCGATGCTCTTTTGAGTGGATACTGAGCGAGGCCTCGTGACTGTCTCACTTGTTCAATTCGATTTTTCATAGGTTCTGAGCCATAGTTGCACACTTTATATGTAAAAGTCCGCTTTAGTCCAGCATGTTTCGTAGTATGAGCCTCATATGAGTCTCGCGGCAAATCATACAATTTCTTTTGTAGCACTTACATCCCTAAATTTTCGTGTGTGATCGGAACATATTGTTGCCGTTCACATGGGGGGTGCGAATGGAAGTGCAGCGACACATACAGTGCAACTTGTACATATATATGTACCATATGTACTTTGGCTCAAGGATCAAGCGACTAGAAAAGGTGCGGTTTCCGTTCCGACGCTACGCCGCTTATGGATCGTCAGTGATAGCTTCAAACTTCGCTGATTAAGATCCACTCGCATTGTATGTGAAACCGTTTACGTTTCATGGGTTTGAGGGCATAGAATAGGGTATCGTTTAACAGACCTGGGGTCAATTGTCAGGCAAAGCTCCAAAAACCAGCACAACAAACAATTTTGCTGCTAATGTTTGTAACTTTTGTGTCGTTCAGCTTGTCAATTTGCAGTGATGCTTTTTGAAGGTTTTGCATTTTTCTGCATCATATTTTCTGGCGGAGACAGACAATAGGGTCCAGGTCAACACTGCATTGCTGGCGAGTGGGACGGTCAAAGAGGCCAACAGTCAAATAGTTTCAAGAGGCCTCCGTTTGACATAACTGTCAAACCATAGTTGTGCCATGTTGCGCCCCCCCAACAGCACCAGGTTTGTGTCTCAATGACTGGAAAAGAGCACCTCCAAAATCCTTGAAACAGCTATCCTCTCTGACTCTCTTTGCCTGAATCCTTCTATTGCGTCAATGGATGCATTTCTTTAATGTTCTTTATATAATTATACAGAGTATAAGTATACTTCAAGACTTGCATTCACTCGGAGGGTCAAGCAGAGTCAAGCACCTGCCATGAATCCGCGGCTAAGCCCTTCCTCCGCTTCCACGGCTTTGCCCGCCAAAACGCTCGCACACCAAACGCTCGCGCCCTCTCCGAGAAGCGAAGCGCAGCGCCGGCAAGCGCCTCGAGGTGGATGAGGTCTTCAAGCGCAGCTTGTTGGAAGACATCTTGCCCACCTCCGCCCCGGAGTTCATGCAGAGCACCGAGGCGCGCTGGCACGCACGAGCTGAAAATCAGCCAGCGCGCCAGCGCAGCAGAGATTCGTCGGCCCAAAAGGTGTGGTCTTTTCCGGTGTGGCCAGTGGTCGACTGGGTTTTTTGGACACGCCGTGACCCTCACCTCTAAGATGCTGTGTTCGGGTCCTGGTATAGGACTTTACCGCACAGCGAGTTGGTGCGCGTCAACCTCCTGCGCAGGATGGCATCGTCTTCCGCATCTATCGGCCACTCGTGTGCTGCAGTGATGTTGGTCGAGCGTACCTCCTCAGAAGGTACTTGGGCCCTCTAAACCCACCCACAAACACCTTAAGAATGTACGACTGGAGGCCAAACGAACACATCTTCTCGCATCATCAGCACTTCAAACACCCTCAACCACTCTGATCCCGCTCCTTGCTCGCTCGCTCGCTCGCTCCGCACGTTCACTGGCACCTTCACTCCTTCCCCTTCGCTCGCTCTTGGCTCCGGTGGAGGCACCGATCGCGTCGACCCGAGGCTCGGACGCTTGGAGGTCCGTACGGCACAGGCACCGAACTCAGAGGCACGGCGTCCGCTCTCGGCGCGTGGTGGGCCGACTCCACCGGGCGAGCTGCTTTTTGACACCTGTTTCGGTTTGGGGCAGGACGAGTTGCGATCAACTGTTTTTGTCACAGGATGTTTTTCATGCGTTTGCCCTATGTGCCCATGATGGAGAGGTTCATGATGTTCCACCAGCAAAAATGAGCGTGTATAGTTGTGTGAAATCAGGACACTGCTATGTCGCCACTGATCAACCAGGCAAAGACCTTAGAAATATACGTCACAAGAATATACCCTCCATCCAACAAACATGGAAATGGAACATGGCCCCTTGGAAGACTGTTTTCCTCTACGAACAGGCTGTATTCTGCTTCCATAATTGTTTCGGGTAGTATGAATCATTGAATTGGTTTAAGGGAAAATCTGCAGGACACCCTTGCTTTCACTCGTTTCACTATGGTGTTCCTGGAGTTTTCCTGTCGATTTTCCATGAAACCAATTCTGGGAATTATAGATTATGAGCTCATCATGCTCAGATTAGGCCAGTCCGTCCCCACAGATCCGACATAATCCGATGGCCTGGCCTGCCTGCGCCTTCTGTCCTGCAGAGATAGCAAGTCGGTTTTGTGGCCGCTTCTGTGTGAAAAGAGTCCTCGCTTGAGACCATCAGCCGGAAGGCGCCGAAGGGCTGTTTACGCAGTGGTTGCAACCCGAATCCACATGCGTTGCGAATGGTTTGATGCTAGCAACATCAAACATGCGCCACAGAATCCACATGGTGACCCTTGCACCACGCACGACTTTCTTCCTGATTCCACCATGAAAACATTTGCCCTACATTGCCCTACCAGATCCTCCTCTTTCAGGGGTGTCGGCTTCAAAGCCCCCCTACCAGACCTTCGACCGATCGCAGAAACTGACACGGCCGACCTCATGGCATAGAGCTTCAGGTTTCATTTGACCAGAATCCATAGGAAAACCACCCAGGAGTCACAAAGGGGTGGTGTTTAGTCCCTAAGTGAGTGGATAATGGGCACCCTTAACCTCCATTAAGCACCCCTTTGTGACTGCTGGACCACAAACATCTCTCGCCGCCTCCGCGTTTCTCATTTTCTGAAGGCCTAGGATGTACGTGATCTATTCATGATCGATCTCTCCCACCCGGTGGGGTGTTTCGAGCGGAGTGCCGGGTGGGGACATACCGCTCACAGGAGCAAGAGATTCTCTCGGTGTTCTCCCAGCGGCCTGTGACCGAGATGGCACCAGGCACCAGGGCGGCTGGAAGAAGACGAACGTGAGTGGGGCACCGCAAGCTGGGAACCTCTTAGAGTATAGATATAGTTGGAGTACATGTTAGTACATGTTAGTACATGTTTTGTTAGTCATGTTACTAACAGAGATGGTCCTCTTATGTCTCCTCTTTAGGTCATTTGAGGACCATCTCTGTTGCTGCTTGGTGTGCGCCGGGGTGCCTTGACCGGTGGGCCGAACTGGGCTCCCACCTTGTTTTGATGTATGTCCAACACTCCCCTGGAAAGCCACCCGACAAATGTGTTTTCAACTGTATGGAGTATTCCCCTATACAGCCTATATACACAGATTGAAAGAATCATTTGGGTGGTTTCAGGGGAGTGTTGCGGACGTCATATTCCATGGAATATATACACTGACCCCTTTGTTCACCACCCGACGTGATTGGTAAATGTACCGTACGTCCCAGACAGCTCGTGTTTGGGTACATCTGTGAGAGCCTTGGAAATTCTCAGCCCTAGATGGAGTGGTCTTGGACTCCCAGGATGTTCTTAGAGTTTGACATCTGAACCCAGGCAAAGAGTTTAACCAAGGCAAAGAGCTTAAACACAACCCTAGATACTCAGCGTGTTCAATAACCTAGGAAAGTGCAAACTGGACATGATGTTCTTTTCATGATTTCTGCTTACTCCCTGTTGATGGACAACATCTTCTTTCCGTCCGACCGCGTTGATGCGACGCTGCGACACTTCGCGTGGTGTCCGGCGACGGGTCGGTAGCAGGGGGCTTCGATTGCGGAGTTTGTGGGCCAGGGTGATCCCTTGGCTAATAGCCCAGTAGAGTATCATAGAGCAATAATAGAGCATGTTGAAAGCAGTAACAGATAATGACAGTATGAGACCATCTCTTTTTTGTCCTTTCCATTTACAGTTATCCTGGAGTATACATGGAATTATAATGAATATATTGGGGACATCCAAAAGAAGACAGGCTCCAGCAGCCTGGCAGCCAGGTTCTGTCAGGATCCAGGGATGCTGGGATCCATCTGGACCTGGGAGAAGCTGCTGCTATAAAACCAAGACCAAGAGCCAAATCATGGCAAATCCTATTGGAAGCTGGGAAGTTCTTGTGACATGTCCTTTGTGTTTCTTCCGATATGTGTTCGTTGCTCTCCTTTGTTCTGCTGAGGCAAGATGAAGGCCGTTTCCCAGGATGAGAAGTTCATCAAAGGCGCGTGTTGGGTCCGTCGTCCACATCGGTGTTGTGCCGCCAGTAGCGCCAGGCTCCCGGGCCCTAAGGATCCAGTGGTACCGAACCTCAGGTAAGGTGAGGACGGAGACACTGTTAGGTTCGGGTTCCAGAATTGTAAGGGAAACATCCAATTACAGGAGACCATACCCTAGGCATCCAGTCGCTCCCAACCGTTCTCATGGGTTTGTGGATGGCATGACCCCTTTGTTTGACCATGAAATCCTCATACCAAACAGCGGGGATTGTCCACTTCGATGCTAGTGCGTGAGAGTGCAACAACCCTGAACATGGACCCTTCTCTTGAGCAGTGCTTCTTGGGGTGCATCTTTGTTGGAGGGAGAGTGAGCGGATGTGTTGGAGGGAGGGGTCAAAGCACCGACATGTGACCCACTTTGATCCACCCTGATCGAGTTGTGTTTTTCTTTCAATTCGACTGGACCAGGTGAACAGCTTCAAGCAAGGTGACCACCAGTATACATACCTGGCATACCCATGTTTGTCTATTCCCTTCCTCCCCAGCAGTTGCTTTTGCTTTATTGGGTAATTGGATGTAATTGGATTTTCCCGATGGTCAACCCCATTCTGGGGAGTGCTTCTAATGTTTTGCCCGGTAAGACAGCAAATCCAAGATCCTTTGGTCTCCACCTGAGCCGTGCTGAACAAGCAAAACGTGGCAGCCGCATAGCACTTCTCCACCGCCAGGGCGCCTTTACGTGGAGGCAATCGAGGGAGATCACAAGGAGCCTCAAAGATCGCACGTTGTTTTTGGACGAAGTTCGGCGCCATGGCGGACCGCTCCACGGAGTGCAAAGCCCCCTCAAAAGATCTATACTTATTGTTCGCTCCAAGTGTCAGGCGTTGCTTCTTTTTTGAGGTCAGCCTGCAGACTAAGGCGCCAAGGTCAAAACATGTCAACAAGATTTAAAAAGGATCATTTTAGGATTCACCACGTCACGGACAAGAAAGAGATCCACTTGAGAGTCTTGTGAGGCTGTCCTTGGAGTCTTGTGAGGATCAGTGAAGCTCTTATTGCCCCCCCGCGAAAACAAGGGATCTGATCTATCGCCTTGATCGACTGACGGAAGTGTCCGAAGGACCAGGTGGCCAGCTGAAGGTTAGGTGTTCAATCCGTACATCATACATCCAACATGATTCATCAGAAGGAGAGTGTGAAAAAGAAAACTCTCCCTGAGCACCCCTGAAGAACATGGTCTTCGGGATGAATGTTCCACTTCCGTGGTTGTGTCAAGGAGAGTATTTTCTTGTCTACCGAGTCTACTCACTCCAAGGGCAAACAGAAAATAAGTGTCAAAGGATTCCTACTGTTGATGGAATCTGAGAATCTTGTCCTGGAAGGGTTCATCAACTGGAATGGAGTGTATATAGTATAGTTTATATAATGCGTTCAGGAACTCCATATTGAATAGGTGGAACTCCGAACTCTTCCTTCCGACATGATTTAAGTCATTTAGTCAGTCTAGTCTTCAACTATAGATTTAACATGTACCAGCACCCTCCAACAGGTCGCCACCTGCGACTTTTAAGTCAGCAAAAGCCTCCAGAGTAGGGAGTCACGGTGTGGTTTGCGCATCTACCCTGCTTTTGTATGCCATCTTACCGTGACCTGTGCAGAAACTGTGTAGTAATTACCACGGACCATACTGTGCAAAAAAAGATCACCGAAGCAATCGACCGGACACAGCAGGATGCGGCCAAGCAGCTGCATTTGTGCCACTTCTACGTCGTGGCTGGGATGGAAAACGAAACCGATCAAGCAGATGAGGAGGATGTGAACAGGTGCAAATCCGAAGCATCAACGATTTGGCTGTGGGTATCTGTGGGTCATAGCACCTGGAAGCCCGATACTACCCTAATGGCTTGACATGCCCTGGTGGCTTGACATGCCCTGTCAGAGGAATCTGTGTTCATTTGATCCGCGGAGGGCTCGAGGGCTGTGGAGTTTTGATCCCCAAATCTCCTCCCTTAGGGACCTGGAAGTTTGCGACCTGAGGAAGTCTGGGCCAAATACAAACCCCAAGGTCGCCCAGGGGATGGTTGGTTAGATCATAATGCATTGAGAAGAAAACGAGGAGGGCGTGAAACGCTGAGCTGGACATGAACTCCATCCCTAGCCCCAAAAAAACCACCTGGAAGTCTGGGACTGGCATGAAACCCATTAAACCATCCACCAGGTGGATTTCAGGGCTTCGGATGGCACTCTCAGTCCCTGGTGAGTGCCTTGGGGAGCGCGCCCAGGTTCTTGAGACGAAGAGCGGGCACACCATCCTCACTGAGAAGTTGGCGGATGGAAGCACCACTTGGGTGCCTGGGATCCACTTGGGTTGATGGGAAAGAGCACAGAGCTGACGAACGTAGACTCTTAGATGATATGTTATTCAACCTTCCCACTATAAATAGTTAGTTATATAGTTAGTATGTACAAGGGGTTGGTTCAATCCAATGGTAGGATTAAACAAACCAGGCGGGACTGAAGAGTTTAATCCACATGTGAGGGGTTTATGTGAATCAAGATTCTACATGACCGACGACATGGACCATAGAAAGCCAGACATGATTGCATACTTTAAACCTGGAGGTTCTCCCATTCCGGGTTCGGTTCTCTATATACTGGACCGAAAGAGAATGACTCCTATAGTCAAAGTTGTCATCCAACATCTCACACCCTTTTTTTTGGGGGGGGGGCGAGGTAGGGGATGTTTCTATGCCTTTCCACAAGAGATTTGTTTGTCCCATTGAACCCCAGTAAAGACATCAGAAGCAAGTCTTCTCCCGAACGCCCCACGCTTCCCAATTCCCAAATGTCAATGGACGAACGTAACAAACGCCCAGGTGGTGAACCCCAATTGCTTGGAAGATCGCAATTCCTTGGCGAAGCTCATGGTTTGCTTGGACATCCGAATGGAGTGCCTGATCGGTAAAGGTCCAGATCCGGACTGGATCAAGGAAGGGGACACACCGTTGGCTGGGGAGGAATGGGGGAGGGCAAGAATGGCCTGCAGGGATTTCCTAACAAGGCTGTACAAAAGGATCCGTTGAAGGCCTCTTGATCAACTTGGAAGGTGGTAGCTGTTTCTCAGGAGTGAGTCAAGGGTATCCATCTGCCCCTTTCAACCGCAAGCTCTCAGCTACGTTGAGTTTTTTGACCAGTTGCTCAAACAAAAAAAGAAGTACTATCCCTGGGGCTCCAAGTACCTCCTTAGAAGGTATGACAGGACCCTCTAAACTTACCCCACCCCAGTCCCACCTTCTAAGAAGATCCGGTCCGGGTGTCGCCCAAACGGGTATACTAATTCAATACACGGTCCATGCCTTGATCCGACCATGTCCGACACCTGTCCAGCTTCGTTCTCCCAACCCCTTCGGTTGTTTCTTCGGCCGGGCCGAGCGGGAGAACGAGACGGTGCGCCATGGATTGAGCAGCCGAGCTAACTTTGCTTCGAACTGAGCTGTTTCACTATGTCCATTTGTTGAATTGGTCTTTTGAGGGTAGGGTTCAGTTGACAAGATGATGGAACATGTGAATTTGGAGAGACAATTTGAGGGCACCAACTAGAAGACCCACTGAACCCACACCATTCCACCACCCAGACTACCTATGAAGAAATCCGGATACCTCTTTGAGTCTAAGGAAGGCCACCGTGCGAAACCTGCAAATCACCCAAGAGAGCATCTCGTCTCTGCACTTGGCGTTGTGCGAACGCGTGGGGTACCGCTGCTTAGAGCGACAGCGACACCAACTTGTTTGGATCCGAATTGTTTGTTCTACTTTTGTCCAAGACCATCCATGTACACTCTCTGGAACTAACATGGAAGTGGAGTTTGCCCCCTGTTTGTAGAGGACAAGGACGTCTTCCAAGCAGCCATGCCATCCACTTCCATGTTAGTTCCAAGGAGTATTAGCTACATTGGCATTGGGATCATAGATTTTTCTCGTTGTTGGTCACACATGCAGGTCAAAGATATCATTCTTTAGCTGGAGTGTGTCATACAAAAAGCACGAGGAACACACTACTCCATGAGGCGTTGCAGGACCAGGATTGGACCTTGGTCTTTGGACCTTTAGGCTCTCTTCGAGGGTACACAGGTCGTTCCATGTTGGGGTGCCTATATCAACCGAGGAGGCACAGGAGGATAGGACGAGTCCAAGCCCACCTCTTGTTGATTGGAACTCCTGGGGAGATGTCTTTTAGTCCTCAAAACAGCCCTCACAGCGGGTGAACGAGAGAGATGGGTGGGAGATGGTGGGAGGAGGGGGAGGGGGAAGGGGGCTGGAGGACGGGGAGAGAGAAGGGTGGGAAGAACAAAAAAAAACAAGGCCTGCCAAAACCCGCGACTGCTAGGTGAACCCGCCCTGACGGAGTTTGTGGCGGGTGCTTCTAGAGGAACCAGAGGAACGTCAAATCCTTTTTCACGGTTGGCATGGTGGGTTGACATGCCTTGTAGAGGAAGCTATGCATTCGACCCCGGGGTGATGACCAGGGTGTTTGGGTGCGATGACCAGGGTGCTTGGTGACCTGAAAGCAAGAGATCAAGAGGTTACGTGGAAGATCGATTCTTTTTGTCCCGAAAATCCCCGTGTTGGGGCTCTCGGCCGCGTCGCTCAGGCCATTCCATCAAGAAGCCTGCGTCGACCTCGGCCGCTCGGCGAAGACGTCGCTCTTGGTTTGCTCGGTGTTTTTCTCCGCGGGTTGGGCCCGTCAAGACTACCTGGTGTTTTTCTATTTTTTGATCTTCATCCAGTGTTGTTTGCCGACTAGCTAGTATCAACTTCATCAAGTGTTTTTTTTTACCATCAGAGATAGCACACTAGTGGTTTTCTTAATAGTAGTAGTTGGAAGATCACCACATGGATCCACATGGTATGATAGGCTTGCATGACCACCTGCAGTGATCAACCACCTCTTTTTATATGACCAGAGAGAGGTATGGTAACAGTGACCGATATATGCCCGTCCCGTGAGCCTCCTGGAGTTTATTGTTCGATCGTGTTTCTGTTGAAGGTGGAAAAGGGGGGGACTCACAGGTTAGGTTATGGAAGCGGAACATGGAACACCTACTTAGATATGGAACTATCACCTGTTACATGCCACAGTTAGGTGAAAAAGGATGGCATGGAACTTTTTGGAACTAACTCAAGTCGCAATGATTTGAGCCTGGATGTTTTTGTTCCTTATCATCATACCTGGACCTTCAAAGGGGTCACCAATGGAGATCCCTAGGCAGTGTAGGGGCTTCCATTGGTGACCCCTTTGAAGGTGCTGCTGTGTTAACATGTGTGTTTCTCTCAGAGGTGATTCTTATTTCCCTGCAGCTCCAACCCTATCATGTCTCAGTCTGTGTAACAGTTGAAACTCAATCAACATCTTCAACCTGGGCAAGCTTCGATGTCCCAAACCCGTTTGCGCTCCAGTCGTACCTCCTTAAAAGGTATGACAGGACCCTCCTGGTACCCACCCCAGTGCCACCTTCTAAGAAGGTCCGACTGGAGCCCAAACAGGAAAACATCCTGGGTAGAGCGGATGAAGATCAGATGGTGCCAGTGCGAAGTCACCTCTGAAACCGAGTTCTGCTATTCGTTTTGGATGGAACCCGCCCCGGTGGCCGGTGCCGCGAACTCCCATCCCCTCCCACCCCAGTCCAGTCACAGTCATGCTGCGCTGCGGGTGGTGAGTCCGGTTTTCACCACCGCGGGCGTCGGCGTGGTCCAGGAGCGGAAACGCTACGCCCGAGAGATCTTCTCCTTGGTCTCTCCGAGGATCGGTGGCCCCAGGTTTTTTTTGGGGGGGAGGAAAAAGCGCAATCCCAGGCACTTCCTTCAAACACCCATGACCTCTCAGTCGGACATTCCAACAACAATGGATTTACAAAGGTGGGGTGAACAAACATGGAGGGCGAAAAGGAGGTGGACAAAGGGCTTCAAGCGTGACGACCGAAGTGTCTCAGGTGCTTTTGACAAACACACTGACTGAGTGTTCTCAGTCTTTGAGTCTGAAGCTGATGGTTTGCTTCGACCATGTTTCGGCCCTTTGGTTCCCTGGGTCGGAGGAGGAGGCATGGGTTTAACATGTGATTGAACTGTATACATATAAGTCCAAACTGTCCTAGTCTGGTCCAAGTCACCTGCTTGACCTGCTTGACCCTTCTTTGAGTAGTGTGAACTTGTGCACTTGTATGACCATCTCCAGCACTTCATGAGGTCATTCAGTTCCCGACCTGTAGGGGTGGCATTCGGTGCTGATCTGTATTCCAAGGGCTGAGAGTTCGGGGTGTGGCCTTGGTGCGCAAGGGATGATCCATTAAGGTGCATTAAGGCCTGGGTGATCCATCCAACACTAGGATTTCCAGCCAGTCCAACAGAGATCATCACACCATGTTGGAGTTGTTTGGTAGAGTTTACTCTAAATCTATTGACTGAACAGGCTCGAGCCCGTCACACTTGGAAGGATTCATGGACAAGCTCAGTGATGATCCTTGCTGGAATTGGAGACGAATCAGGGAAGCCTCCTTCAGGAATTTTGAAGATCAAGAAAAAACCGAAGCAGAGCTTCCAGGAGTCCCTATAATGGGTACAAAGAGTTCCGGCACGGCTAAGGAGGGGCAGATCTTTGTAGGTAAAAGTGCTTTCTACCTCAGTGCTCATGTTTCTGGGGACTCGCAAACATGGGACATCAGTTCAGGCCTCAAACAAACTGGTTCTTGTTTGCACCTAACTCAAACAGTCAAGGTCATCTACAGTCAAGGTTTTCCATCTACTCAGGTCATGTGCCGACATCCACTTTCGCAAGAAAGTACCACACAAACTGTGAGTTTTTGCCCCTCTTCCATGCGGCTTTTTGACCAAGCACATCATCAGCCAGGAGTTTGGAGATCACCGGTGGCAGGCGCCCAGTGGGTTGGATTTCTTGGGTCGCCATGCAGGGGACAGGTCTGGAACCCCATATTTTATGTAGTGGTCAAGGCTATAGACAGTTGTCTCGAATGCTGCAAGAGGTGATATAGGGGGTATCCGTGAACCACCCCTGGTGCCGGGGGGGGGCCTAAAAGATGTTTGTTTGTTTCTTTTCACTCCTGGTTTTTGTTCGGCCTGGCTTCTTCTTCGGGTTCATGTCGCGGATCTTCAGGATTTCAATCGGTCCTTTTTTGGGGTCGGTTTTGTTGGTCTCAGAAAGTCATCTAAGATAAGTCTAAGAATCTACCTGGTTTTTTGCGGATCAGGTGATGTTGCATTTTCCCGAACTGGGTAAATCCCATTCTAGGGAACATGATTTCTTTACTTGTTCCAGGTTCCGAATCCGCAAATCAGCAAGTAGATGGTTTGAAGCTTGTCCTGTCAGATCGGTTCCGAACATGTAAGGAACGATAGCATGACTGGTCAATGCATCCGAACTTCCTGGTCAATCTTCCCTTGAGCGCCGATCGAGCCGGATGTGTTGAGCGCCAGACATTCGGCTGATGTCATCCACCGGTAGCTCTGTACAATGGACCCTGAGTAGATGGAACATACTCTGCAGGACCAGTTCTGGTGGGTTGATGGACATTTGGGTTGATGGACATTTAGACAACTGGATGAACCGAATAGCCATGCCTGCACACACACGTGCCAATCGCAAACTTCTGGTCCAAGCTACTAGCCTTTGGTAACCCAGGAGTCACAAAGTGGTGCCGAGCTTGGAGGTTGGGGGGTGCCCATTATCCACTCACTTAGGCACCACCCCTTTGTGACCCCTGGACATTTGCTCGAATTGGGTGCATTTGCCATGGCTTTTACAGTCCAGGCTCACACAGTGCTTCTTCGAAGCGATGGTAGTGCTGTGGCCTGCGGATGCAACCATGATGGTCAATGCAATATTCCACCTTTGGAGGAAGGGATGTCATACACCCAGGTTTTTGCAGGCTTCAGTCATACCGTGCTTCTTCGAAGTGATGGACATGCTGTGGCTTGTGGAGACAACCGCGATGGGCAATGCGATCTTCCACCTTTCGAGCCTGGGAATTGCTACATTGCCTCATTTGGAGAAGACCGTGTTTTCCAAGTGGATTTTGTGGAAGATGATGCAATCATGCTGACATGCTTGGATTTGGGGCATGAAAAGTTACAGTTGAAGACACTTGGGTGTGGCTTGGGATACTTGGCAGATTGCGCAGGAATTGGATATCAGTCTTCCGAGTCTTCGACTCGTGCCTGCACGGAGAAGTGTTGGCCTCGCAGAGCAAATCCAAAGGTCACCGCAGATGTGAAGAAAGTGAGAAGTTAAAACATGTGGGAAGATGGTTTGAATATGTTCAAGCCTTGCGCCATCCGGATCGGGATTGTCATTTGTGCGCCGCTGTTCAAGGCAGTTCTGACTTGCACCACTCGGAGAACAAGTATTCTGTTCATTCTGCTCCTCAACTTAGCGCTACTGACTTTCAAGAAAGTGCAGATGCCAGAGTTTCATTTGCTGTGGGTTTTCCCTGGCACGGTCGAGCACAGTGAGATGAGTCTTGGCAAAGAGGAAGTGCATGTGGGTTTGGACTTTGGCTCCCTACTTTTTCAGATCCTATGCATTCTTTGGGCTTGGATCCTTGTTTGCACAGCGATGTATTGTGAAGTGATTTGATCATTTCAGATGAGCCCGCCTTGGACGGCAACTTTGCTGTCTACCTACGAGGGAGATCGACTTCGCAAGAGTTTCTGCTATCAGACTATGAGTGAATAAGCAGACTGTGATTCTTGAATCTGGGAATGAAAAAGACCGCTCCTTCTATAGTGGCCTCAAGATTCTGATTCAGGTTTGATTCCACATGTCCTGCCGAATGTGTCGATTCGCTGGACCACAGCCGGCTCTTTTGTATAATGTGACAATTATGTGAGTGTCTTTTTGTTATATATATATAGAGTTATTGTGTTTTATTATTGTTATTGTGTTTGCTATGTTTTCCATGTGTTATTGTTTTAAAACTATTTGTTTGCTGCCCACGCTAGCTTTTTCGTGCATGACCAAAGTCATCCTCCCTCCAGTATGTGTTCCATGGGAATCTAAACCTTGAAATTTTGGGATCCAGGCGTTGTGAAATGGAACAACAAGATCCAACGTAAAGCCATCGAAACCAGTCCTGAGGCGTACAGAGATGTTGAAAGAAATACAGGCTTTTAGCCATGTAATTCCAGACAGGGAATCGTGAAAAAGGGCCGTCCAATCCCTAGGAAGGAAGGCCGTTCGTGCCCTTTGTGCCGTTCATGACAGGCGGCAGACTTCACAGTATTCCTTCAACTCGCTGCATTTTGATGCATGCTTCAAGGAAACACATCCGTAACTGCCACAACGCACTTCCCCCCCTGGGCTGGTGCTGTACCCGCGTGAACCGGCCACTTCCCGGCTCTTCACGACCGGGCCGAACCGCCCGGTTCAGGCGCTTCCTCGGACGAGCGTATCCTTATCCCAGCAGCTCCAAGCGGTCCAGCGAGTTCAGGCGCACGTCCGTGACCCCGTCGCGCGCGTGCGTTCGTGCCACTCGTAGACCGCTCCACACGCGCCGCTAGCCGCGGTGCTAGACCGGAAGACCTGAAGACCGGAAGACTGGAAGACCGGCAGGGGCGGGTCAGGTGGATGAACGCGGTGTTTGATCGGTGGTGCGGTGTCTGGTGCGGAGTCGCGGTGTTTGGATTCATCGTTGGATTCACTGGTCGGATCTGGTCGGGGTCTTCAGGGTCGCCGTTCTTTGTTTCCCACATCAACTCCTTGAGGTCTCCAATGTCTCCCAGACATAAGGACCCCTGTTGCAACATGTCTGTGCTTGTTGATGCTTGTTGGAGTTTAGATCCCAAACATGTGACTGCAACTTCGTCAAATGCTTGGCTTTGGGTTCACGTTTTTTTGCATATTTGTACCCAGGGATCCCACAAAAATGTCCTGCGCAAAGTGCAAACATGAAACACCTCACTGAATGACTTGAGCAACAGCAAGCACCTGTTAACGCTTGGCTCCCTGGATCTTCCAACTGTGCAAACCGTTTGCCTTTTCATCTATAAAATTCAGCCGTTCGTTAGACTTTTGTTGGAAGATCCATGTCTAGATGACAAAGTCTCTTGACATGAAAGCCTATATAAATGATCCATTAGAGCCCTCCGAGGGACGGTGATGTGTTTGACACTTTTACGAGCATCTTTTTACCTTGGAGGCCCAGTTGTCAGTGGATGTCAGTGGATCCCTTTCGGGAAAAGCTATATGCTTAGATGCTATCGGATTCAATTACCTTGTCAGAAGGTGATTGGAGACTGTTGATGCAGGAGTGGAGGGCACAGTTGTACCGAACCTGAGGTACGGTGGCAGTGGATCCCGACCGGGTCGTTTCATGTCGTTTCGAGTCGATCCAGGTGCCGAGGTAGCGAACGGCCCAACACCAGGGCGGGTGGAGTCCCAAAACCAAAGATCGAACCCCCCCCACTTGTAACAGTTAGGTCTTTGCCTCCCTTCCCTTCCCTTCCCTTCCCTTCGCTTCGCTTCGCTTCGCTTCGCTTCGCTTCGCTTCGCTTCCCTCCTTCCGTCTTTCCTTCCCTTCCTTCTAGCGACCCCAACTGGGTGGTGTTGGCCACTCCTCAGTGCCAGGACTCGCTGGGGCGCCCCTTTGCCGCGCCCCGATGCGTAGGCGCTCGAAGGCGACGCGAGCACGACGCTCAAAGGGCCACGGGGGGGTGTGGTTTGACCTGTGCCGGTCGGGATGTGTTTGTCGGAGGGAATTCCTCAATGTAGGTCTTCAAAAGGCTGATTGGGTGCAAAAGCTTCGAATGGCTAAGCCATATGCAGGGTGACCCTGCATTATAATCCCGTTTGGGTTCCTGGTCGCCCCCCCCTCCGTTTCGAAGATGGGACTAGCTATGGGTGCCAGGCGAGTCGAATACCACCTTCCCTGGACAGGAGCCCGTCTCGGGATAGCAACCCCCCCGTCCGATGCGCGCACGGATGCGGTTGAGCCATGCACCCACTATAGACCGCCCTTTTGCTCATGGGTAGAGCGGCCCATTTGGATTGTAAACACCTCTGAAGGGCCTGAAAAAACGGCTTGATTCATCAAGAGTCTACAAACCCTCGAACCCAGACATGACCCTGTGGATAGGAGAGGATAAAAGTCATGAATGTGGGGCCCGTGGTGATCCAAAATTAGAGGTCTGACTGTCTGACTCAGATTCGCTGGACTCTTCGAACATTCGATGGGAGGTCGGACCTCCGACCTCTAGACGCCTGGGTTGTGAAGAAAGATGGGCGGCCAGTTCACGGGTCAATCTCACTGGCCTATCCCAGCACCATGGAAAGGGTATCCATCACTATCCATCAATAGCCCCTTAGAGGTCAAACGGTGTCCATTAACCACCCCGACTGGGGGTCCAGGTCCATGTTTGTTATGGTTTTATTATGCGTTATTTATTTGCTGTGATTTTGGTTGCACTCCCTGAAATCATCATGGAAGTGGATGGCATGTCCCCCGAGTTTGGACCATGGAATCGGAATACCAAACAGGGGGTGCCATCCACTTCCATGTTTGTTGCAGGGAGGGTAAGGATTTCCAAACAGTGATAGTGCAGGAGGAGACTTTTTGTTCACGACATCATTCTTGTATATTATATATACTTTGTTCCAGCTGCGGGTAAAGCAGATGTCCTTTAGAGTAGGTGCCTGTAGATCTTCCAACCATGCAACGTTTCTGCGTTTTGGCTTGTTTTTGGGAGAAAAAGCCATAAATGTTGTAATTACAATTGAACATATATATGTATGTCCGACTTTATTGCCCTTGTCAGATCCTTCATTCATCAGGCGGTGACAAAGCATGAGTCGCGGAGTGGCGGGCAAGTGAGAGCATAGCGGTGCGGAGACCGATTAGCAGCTGTCAAAACCTTTGGTGTGACAACGATGGTACCCGCTTAGAGCAGGGCTTCTGAAAACAGTAGAACGTTTCTGAAGAGGGTTACATAATACTGTCCCTATACAAGTCCAAAGACCCAGCAAAACCTGGTCTTTACATCCTTATAGGAAGTGTCTTTATGTGACCACGTCCAGTCCAGCGAGGTCTTTGACCTGTCGGGTGTAGCAGCTTGAGCCAATGGAGCAGACATGCCACAAACTACTGTTTTGCAGGGAAGGTAGAAGGAAGTCGAAGTCAGGCAAGCAGAGTAAATACGCGGATATAAATTCTTCAGGACTGCGTTCAATTGTGGAAAGGACTGTATCTAAGCAGATCAATAGGAACCCATCATATAGTGAGTGGGACGAAGAACACGGTCCAAGTATTAGTATGCAAGTTCATTTCCAAATAATGACTAGACATGTTTGTTCGCTAAGACTCACAGAAGAACAGGCAACCTGTGATTCACCCGACAAAACTGGAGCTTGATTTCTAGGTTCTTTCAGCTCGATCTGCAGCACAGCTGTCTACGCTACCTGCAGAGTAGACTTTAAGTCTTTAAGCCACCAATGCCGCCATCCCCACTGTCCAGCTGTGCCAGTTGGAGCTTAAATGTTGGTCTTGGACTTGCACGGCAGTCTCTTCTTGCGGTGACTGATTGGTGAATGTTTCTTAGGCCTCCGGCGTCCGGCATAATACACTTCAGACGGTTTTAGTCGCTGAGTCGGTCCTAGGAGTCCTACCATATAAGAGGCTTTGTCAGCTGATACGTGCAATGGTTGAGCCTTACCAGAAAAAAGAAGGCATGTGAATGCACACTCCCAAGATCTTGGCACCAAAAGCTTGGTGCCTGTGGGGATGTGAAGCGGTACGAGGAGACATATTCGAGCATTCAGAAGATGATGTGTACCTAGACCCCACTTCAAGCACCCTAGAAAAGGACGTGACCCGACTTCAAAACCGGTACGACTGTACTCATTCTTGGGAGGGGAGCAGCAGGTCCATAGATCCGTCACACCTGGCATTTGTTCGGCGAAACAACAGGGGTACCTGGATGATGACACACACCGGTACCTGGATCCTGTAAACAAAACCGACTCTGGCCGACTGGGAGGATGTGTTTGTTTGATTCTTTCGATTCTTTAGAAGAAAAAAAACAACTCATCTAATCATCTTGGATCCATACAGAAGAACCCTTTCCCTTCACGCGGAAAAATAATCCAATTCAATTGTGGAATCCGATCCGCATATGATGTTGTTTTGGTTTGCATAATATGTTATCCGTTCTTTCCGTTGATTCTGCATATTGTGTTTTTTGCTATATCAGTAAAGAGAGAGAGAGAGAAAGATTCAGCCGTATTATAGAGGAAACTCATCAGATACTCATCAGTACATAATATAAATCCTTTTATCAATATAATATATATATTATGACTTTAGCACACTTCAGCAGCTACGTGAGAGTCTTGGGTGTGTATCAGGTGTTCTCTTCCTCTTCTCACAACTGCGCGTGGTGGACAAAAGCTTTGTTTCGCGTGGAACGCACACATGTGCCATGCCAGCATGCAGGGTGTGTAGCTGAGTCAAATAGGGAGACCTCCCAGATTGAGCCTGGAAGGTTCGGGAAATCAACAAAACAAATTGGTTTGTTGGTATCCCTGGTATCCAAATACCTTCTCAGGTTCGGTATGACAGGACCCGAACATGGCACCCACCCTAACCGTCCCCGTCCCAACCGAACCCACCTTCTCAGCTACGACTGGAGCCCTAAGGTAACGCTAGCCTAGCGTATGTATAAACCCTGGAAGTCAAAGACCATTTTTAAAATGGTTGATCTGGCTTTGTAGTGTAAAACCCTTATAGTAAAACAATGGTTGTTCGGTAAAGGCTATTAAAACAATGGTGGTTCGACTTCCAGGGTAAATACATGGCACTGCATCCTCGACCGACCTCTGAAGCCCCGGACGCTGACGCGTGCGACACGAACGCGTGAACGTTCGGTCCTTCCCAGCAGAGGTAGCCAGTGACCTGAACTAGGACCCGTCACCTGGGGTACCTATGGGATATAGTCTATAGGGTCATTCAACCTCTGTTGGTAGCCCCAGTCGAACCTCAGGTTCGGTACGACTGGAACCCAACGTTTTGGCTACCGTCTCCATGAAATCTGCCGAACACATCACCGTACCTGAGGTTCGGTACGAGAGCCCTAGGGTAGAGTTTCTATAGTCCCACTCTTACGGACGTCCGAGCAGAGGAAGTCGACTTGAAGTCTGGGGTTGCACCAGACCACTTCTTGGTCTCCTTGGCAGTGATGTTGGGTGCATGAGGCATCAGTCAAATCTCCATGTCTTCCGCACAGAATCACCAATCAGCCATCATCACACCGAAACGATATATCACTAGAGCCACTCACTTTCTCCATGGTCCATCGATACCATGGCGCCAAACAGGGGATGGATTTGGCGTCCACATGTCATCACACTTCAATGTGGGTGTGTACCTGGACCCGACTTCTAGTACCTTAGAAAACATGACCACATAAAAACAGGTACGACTGTACCCATTTTCCGAGGTACGAACTGAGACTCCAGGTAATAGAAACATGGGCCTACCTACCCCCTCTACTTCAATGGGTCGACTTGGAAAGGTCCATGAGTTCCGAACCGTTCTTCCCTCTTCTTCTTGGGACCTTTCAGCATCTTTTAGCCCTTTCCAGCCGGCTCACTCTCCACTCTTCCAGCCGCCTCTTGCGGTCTTCCTCCGCTCGCTTTGACTCGTCACTTGATTCGCTCCTTCCAGTCGCCTCTTCCTCGCTCTCGAGGTCGGAGTATCGCTTCACCCTGAGTCCTGCCGTTCGGGGACTCGGTCCGGGCCGGAGCGTGGAAGCGACCGGACGTCGCGGTGAACCGGGTCTTTGGGACGGTCATGGGACGATGGCAGGTGCGTTCTGACATGGCGTGGTAGGTCGGCGGCGGGGGTGGCGTGGACGTTGGTTTATGTTGGTGCAGAAAAGCCTGACTCACGGAAGAGGTAGGGTGTAGTGTAGATCATTGGGACTAAAGAGCTTTTGTACTCCTAAGACATCATGCCCATCGACGCCAAGTAGACACCTTGACCGGCTTGACGCCACCACCTCGACTGAGGATCTGACACCACCGACCATCACAGTGGTGAGCATGTGCCCCGGATGACATCGGGTCAGTCGTTCTGCTGGGTCAGTTGTTCTGGCCCAAGGGCGGCAAGTGCGTGGCTGGATGTGGATGTGTTTGAGTCCCATAGGGTCGAAGACCATCCGATTCGGATGTCCTGCCAGACCCCCCCCGTTCGACCATTCTCTGGAAGTACGTACTCACCTCCGTTCGACCGTCCGAAAAGGAGGTACCTGGACCCCATGGGAGTTATATAATCCGATGATTCCAATGTCCACGAATTAATAGCCAGATGAAAATCAGTAGAAGTCTGTCATTCCCAATCAACTCCAGTTGGTTCCCAGAATCAATTCCTATGTCCCAGTAATCATCCCAAGTTGCCAAACTTACACAAACAGAATTGTTCAAAGGTGTCAAAGATTATGCATAGCTGCAGAATTATATATTTTAGTGACAGTGCAATGGTGCAACGCCACTGTATGGTTTTCACGAGTCTTGTGTGGTCTTCCAATTCTGTGAACATCCAATTCAACAATGTTAATTCAATCCCTGGATCACTGGATTGGTTTGGTTATGTTTGGTTTAAATAGCTTTGGCTTTGCCATTAACTTACGAACTGGCAACAAAAACCATTGGTTTGATGGACCGTTCTTCTTCCTGTGACTGTACAGGAGTGGTGTTCTTTGTTACTACGAGACTAGGTGTCCAAAGCCATATGGAGAACCATGGTGCCCGAACTGATTTGTGTTAGCCAAGATGCTTGAAACTCTGCAGAGGGAAAACGCCTGTTGCAGACCCTGAATCACTGAAGTTGCAGACCAAGAACAGTCAGAAAACCACCACAGGACTCTACTCTTCGATCGCCACCGAACTTCAATATCTGAAAATCCTTGCACCCCAGTGGTCTTTCTCCGCTTTCGACTCGGCACTTTGGAGGTACGGCATCTCAGAGAACGTGATCCGCGTGACCATTCGCCTAGATGATTCGGGCACCACGTGCGCCTTCTGCCGGGGAGCAAGACATGAAGATCATGGGGGAGCAGGTCTAATTCAACCTGAACTAGAGCCATGGAAGATGAGGAAATTCATGATTTGAGAAACAGCGTCTAAAGATGCCCCAACACTTTCTGTAGCATACGATACTCTTTAACTGGACCTTGTTGTGGTTTGAACATGTGATGTATCATATTACACACATAATCACACAATATCACATATATATATGTTTGTGTATGATTGCCTGTGTTGTTTGTAATGTTTCATGTGCTATGATTTAATTGTATATACATGGGAATAGTGATTGTTGGAGATGGCCTATTCATGGAACTGATCATGTTCCAACCAGGTCAACCTTGTTTTGGTTGGTGTTTGTTTTCCAGTTCTCGCACAAATCCAAGAACATGAGGGGTGATGGTGGTACCAGTACCATTCGTATAGATTCATAGATCACCAGCTGATTCGGGTCTGACCCTGGACCGGTCCAGGCGGTTGGAAAAACCCAAGCCCGAGACCTGTGTCGCACCGGGGAGACTTCGGAACCAGAGCGGTCGGCGGTTCGGTGAGCGGTCGCCCACGAACGCTGAACGAGAACACACGACGTTGGTCCCTCAAATATGACCCAGACACGACCCATGGGACTGCCGTATATGCCGATCAGTTGGGGTGGTGCCAGGGGGGGTCAATGGGGCGGCATATATGGCAGTCCCATGGAGTGTTTGGGGACCCCCCTGCTATGGAGGGTGTGTGAAAAGGAGGGACCCACACGACCTTGTTGGTGCAGCGATTTTTTGCTTTGGGTTTGAACGTTCGACCATGCGTGGGAAAATGTGCTGATCTCAATCCCCCGAAGCTATAAGGATATTATAGCGTCTCCTTCGAGTCGTCAACATGAACCCCAGACACTACTATAGAACTCCATTTGACTGGCCATATATACTTATCTTGCATTGATACCTTTTTCAACCGCCCCTGGCCTGATACGCCCCATTCGTCCCATTGGTCGCGTCTGGGAAGTCTTTCGCCAACTATCGACTCACCAGAGCTTGTCAGCAGCAGTCAGAGGCAAACGGAAGGGTAGTGCACAGAAAGGGTTTTGCAAAAACCTATTCTACTAACATCGTGGAAGGCGTGGGACATTCGTAGAACCCAAGGCTATTCGTGGACAGTTCGTGGAATGGTGGGCGAGTAGGAGAACTGACCGCAACGAAATTCCAGAACCTTCGCAGAACTTTGTGGAAGGTATTTTTGATGCATTAACTTCGTATAAGCGATTTTTGCCGACCCCCTTTCTCCACACACTCTCCATTTAGCCTTCAAGCAGGTATTGCCGAGCCTACGACAGCAGCACCTTCACTCCGGTGTCGCAGGCAGAGTTTAAAAAAAATCAACGCACCAGGTGTTTGGCCATGTGCTGGCCACGTGTTTGGGTTCTGAGTAGGCAAGAGAAGGTGGTTTTTTCCGAGAAAACCCATCCATTCCCCCCCAAGTCACAGCGCAAGTCACTGGAGGTCCCCAGCCAGTTCACACGGTCACAAGCTCCCAGTGGATCCGGGAGATGGTCCGAGTGGCCCGGTTTTGCTTGGGTGAATCCCCTTCTGGAGAACTAGTGTGTCCGTTGTTGTTTTTGTTCCGCATTCCATTCCTGAAAAGCCAAGAGATGCGGCAATGTTCACACGGACCAGCGGCCAGTCCATGTTTGGCTTCAGGTTTTCCGGTTCGTCCGGTGAAAGGTGGTGGGACCGATCGTGACGTGGCGAAAGCGGCATCTCCGTGACTGGAAGAGATGACCGACAGTTCAATTGCTGAAATCCATCAAGAAAAACCACTCGATGCTTGTATACCAGCCTCCAGTCGTGCCGTTTCGAAGCGACTGGAGTGGCCATTGTCGGGTCCTGTCATACCGAACCTGAGGAGGTACGACGAAGTCGGTGTAGGGATAGATATCATCTCTCTTAAAGAATTTTCCTTCCACTACAGTGGCTCTGGGATTCCGCGGCGGGCTTGGAATGAACTTCCGCACAGGAGTTGCAGGCCTTTCTTTAATCACTTTTTGCACATCCAGTACTAAACACATGCAGTACTGTGCAGTACTCCGGAGAAAAAAAACATGTTTTTACTATGTTTTTTTTTACAAACACATGCTGAAGAAGAAATGTGAAGTGAAAATACAAAAGACATCGATGCTGAAGTGAATGTCAATGCAAACCAAAAAAACACATATAATATAGGGGGTGTCCAATTATATTTATATATAACTCCTTAAAGGTGATTCGGGATGTCCATTAACCACAGCAAGCAGGGGTCCCGGGTAAAAACATATCTCCATATTTGCCGATCATTGACCGTCATTGACCCCCCTGGCACCACCCCAAATGTAGGTCAATATAGATGGAGTGTTTGGGTATATGTCGATGTCAGGACTCCCAGCTTTCTTCCGTTGCTCCTCTCGGCCTTTGCAGGGCGGTACGGATGTGCCGACCTTGACGGATTGCACCGTCCCTTGGACGAAGCGAGTGGCTGGAGCGACGAAGCCACGCAAGCACTCGTGGAGGTTGTTCCCACGGATGGGAAGGAGATGCACGGCAGAGAACCCGGATGTATGACACGCATTTGGATTGTTTTTTTATCAGAAGGCTGTGTCTAAGAAGGAAGACGTTCTTCTGGTTTCTTTCTTGATCATGTGTAATGTGTAGGTGTTGTGTGCTCTTCCGAATGCTGGTACGCATATCAGCAATGCTGGTACGCCGGATCCACGTATTCTTGTCTTGCTCACGTTGCAACACTAGACTGGAGTCGTAGGGCAAAAAGACCTACTTTGCAGCAAGAGCCCACTGAGTACCTTGAGCCAAAATGGCTACGGTGTTCACATATGTGCATCTGTGTTGACCTAGACCTAGCTGATGAGGGGGGCGGGAGTTCCTATACAGTTGGTATACACTTGCCATATACACGCATTTGTGTTGAGTCAGCTGGAGAGTTGAACTGCTCCTCACGAGATAGCAACAGCGCAAAACAGCACAGGGTAACACATTGCTCTTTGTTGGGCCTAGGCCTCACAAAGGATCTTTTGCAAGTTAGCTCAGCTGCTTTCATCAAAGAGATCAGCTTCAGCTTCAGGGATGGGTCCCATTCTTCGGCATCCTGCTTTGGGGGTGTCCAACACTTTCCAGCTTCTCTTGCTTTCCCCAACTCCGGAACACCGAAGAAGAGCCGCGGGCGCCGCCCATCCGAGGCGTGTCTCCTCGCGATCAACACGGGCTCAGGACGGGGCTGGACGCATTCGGAGCTGGACGCACCAGAGCTTGACGAAGTCGACTCGGAGCAGTGCAATGAATATAGGGTTCACCCTATTTAATTATTTAGACCTCCTGGCCCACAAAGTGAATTCATAGGCTGAGTCCCGAACAACCATTGTTTGAGTAAGGAGTTTAGCCTACAACAGGGTCAACCATATCCAAAAAACTGTCTTACATGGAAGGCTATTGTAGGGTAAGGCTTGTTTGTATTTTGGTCCAAAGCTTGGAAAACTAGAAATTTGTCTAAGTGCGAGTGTGATGTCTTCGGGACTAAGTGGCTTTGTGGTGCAGACCTCAGACCTTAGCTTCCCACCTCGCAGTTTCGGCCGCAGCACCCGGTCATCCCCAGCAGCCACCGCGCTTCTTCCGCCACGCGCCGCGACGACGGCGAGGCACCAACTTCATGGGCACGTCCACCTACGACTCCACCAAAGGCTACGCCCAACATGAGGCCGGACCCTGACGACGCGTCCGGACTGGTCGATCGACGCACCCGGGTGGATCGAGGATCGGGGGGGGGGGGTTTGTTTGGGGTGATTTGGGGTGTGATCGACCTGCAACCTGGGGTGGCGGTCTTGCTGCCAGGACACCAGAACCATCCTTTTGAAAGCACAAAGCAGGCTTCAAGCAGGCTTCAAGCATATGAAAAACCTTGAAAATCCTGGGCTTTGTGAGCGATCATTTGTGTCTTGTATATATGCCCTATGAATCCACATACCTTCTGAGAAGGTGCTTCTCCAACTCGGAGTCAAGGTGATGTTGGGAGGGCGCCCAGAGAGGGAGGTCGGAGTTGAAAGGGAAGCTTTCAGGTCGGAGTTGGAACTCAAGTCCTCCCAATGTAGACTCTTGATTAATAGAACCCCCCCAGACGTGGATGCACGCAAACTTCTTCACATGGTGTATGTTAACAAAAGAGCTGGTATGATCAAGAGCTAGCTCCCTGCCTACAGAACAACCTTGGCAAGGTTTGATTCGCCAACCTCTGTGAGAAGGATCCCTTTACCAGGCCCTGGAGTTCGACCACTTCGTGACAACTCTGTACCCTGAGCTTCGAGTGTTCCATGAGCTCCTGTTAGACCACTCCTCCGACACTGGTTTTGTCGTTGAGACCACGCCGCGATGGCTTGCCCTAGTTGGACTGGGTGGATCATGTCATTGGGGGGAGGCATAGCCAAGCAGCTGTGTAATACACTTGTTGACCACCATCGAAAATCTCGATTCACACTGCAAGCATTGTGTGCATAAATGTTCTGTACCCAGCGACAACTACAGCAGTTCCCGACTTACCGCATTCCTCATTCACCTTCAGCCAATTGAACCCACATCATTAACCAACCCCCAAAATCCTATAAACATTTAGAAACACTTCTTCCACCCATAACACACACACAACACCAAAAAAGTAAACAGACATCAACGTCCACTTCTGTTTGCTTCTCCCGTTTTCGCTCTGCACGTAACGTCCGATTCCCAGGTGGACATTAGTGGCCTCGCGGCGAAGACCTTCTACTGGGTCCGGTGTTCCCGTCGTGACACGACCGGCGGGGCGCGACCGGCGGTTTCGAGGCTTCGGGACTGGAAGAGTTGGAGTGGATCGAGCATGGATGGCACAACTGGATCCAGTTGGAGTGGATGGATAAAATTTGTTAGGTGCCATCTTCTCTGGATCTACTCTGGGTCCATAGCCTCTTAGGGTACCATTGGTCATCCCTAGGTGCATGGTGGTGCAATGATGGGTGATATACCGTACCCCAAGTTAGGTGGAGCAATGATGAGTTACCCCGTCTGGAAACCAGACGTCTTGGGGTGTCTGTGCCATCAGTGGCATCGAACCTCTGAAACCACAAGCACATGGCTTCGGGACCCAAAATCGTGTAGGCAACTACTCCATACATCATCATAGACCTAGACATAGGCATATATGAAACCCTACAAAATCACCCCCAGCTGATCAGCAACTATGCCAGGTGATTGGTAACTATTCCATGCAGTGAACAATTCCACTCATCCCAGCTGACTACGTTGACCTGAAAATCAACTACTCCAGTTTCATAGATGCTCTGAGGATTATTGTTTATGTGGGGTCCTCCACTCCTCGGGATGGACGAAGAGATACAAAGAGCATCGCCGTTTTCTTCACCACAACGACACAACGTGTCGACAATGGGATTGGCATGTGAAATCCAATCAGTTACATCTAGGGCATATAGTTTGGTCCTTGTGGAGAGGAGGAGAACATAGAAGTAGAAAACCGCCCACATGCTTGTTGTTGAGGAATCCAGGGTCTCGTTTAGGTGGCCAGGCCATCCATCAAAACAAGTTCACCAAAGTTTTGCCAACGACATAGGTCATGTACGCGTTTGTCAACTGATTTTTGCCAAGATCCAGTGTTTGGAGTCCGTTCTTTGCACACAGCCTGGAAGTCCAAAGACTATATGTTGTTGGCCCATGTTGGCCCCATAGAAATAAAGGAAGTTCCTCTTCGGGTCACCTAAAGACTATTGTTCTCCCATTCAGCCTTTTCTTGGCGATCTTAAATACTCCAATTTCTGCAGAGTTCCATATTCATTCACAATTCTCACTCACTAAGAACGTATATTTGTCAAGTGTACCCTTACTCCGGGCAGTGGCCATGGCCATAGCACATCGCCATCACCTGGATCCAACTCTCGCAATCCGAGTGGACAAACCAAAAAAGGCCCTCCGAAGCCCTTCCGTCATTTTTACGTGATGAAAAAGCACGTCAGCTGCAAAACCGGAGTGGGGATGCCCCACTCAAGATGAGAAAGTGAGGTGAACCATGGGACGGCCAGTTCCATCCTGTTCTATCGAAGCGAATGGGAGTTCCACCCTGATCCACAATGCGGCAGGTCTATTGCTATTCCCACGACGATGAGATTCCCACGGTGAACGTCGCGACGTCTTCGCAGATGTTGGCCACCGAGCGTCAGGTAAGGTGGAAGCTGGGGACAGAGCGCTGACTGGAATGGCAGGCTTATGGAAATTGGGCAGAGGGTATCGGTATATAATATTGGGGCGTGTCCCACCAAATATCGGTAAAAGATGGTACAAGATCTTCACCATTTACATCCATTTACTATTTGTTGAGGAAGGCCTGCAACCTAACCCATTGGTCGTCATCCACTTTCACCGGTAATGATATTATATATATAATTTTATAATTGTCAATATACGACATTCCGATCTGAATTAATAATAGGGACAGCTCTTTGGAAGGCACAAGAACTTCACCAACAAACTTCGGTGTCATCCGATAGCCAGTGCCCGTTTGTTTACATAATCCCTACACGAACTCCATGAATGGAACGAGCATTTCCAGATCATTAAGTGGAAAGCCTCCTCCACTTCCATGTTATTTCCAGGGAATGTAACAGGCTACCGCCTGCAGCCGCCGACCCTGTGCGGGGAAGGATGAGGAGGGGGAGCGTTCAAGGAGGCTGTAGTGGAGGCCGGGTAGAGTTGGGCGGCACGGTGCACGTTTGATCGGGCACAACGCCCATGCATACTGCAGCTGCCACGACGCAGAAAACAAAGCAACGCTCGAATGCTCGATGCTATTTTCAGATGTGGTGCTTCCAGCAGAACATTCAATGTACAGTTGTTGACAGAGGAAAGGACACTACCCATGTAAAAGAAGATGCCCCAGGGTTTGCAGTCCTTACCCTGTTTTCAAAAAAAGGGAACCCTTTATCGAAAGCACGCCCTTTGCAGAGCCCTTGGGAAACAGCAAATCATACATATCACAAGATAACACAAGCAAACATTGGTCAGAGACGAGAACGAGAACTAGGAAAAGACCGCAGCAAATACTGGAAAACCGGAGGAACACCTTGGAACAAGCACCCGAAAGATTCTCATATGGAGACGGTTGCAAGATTTTGTTTGGCTCACCGGTTGCAGAGCCTGTGTGTTGAAGGCGAGAGTCATCTCTCATTTTGATGTTAAGGGTCTGAGCCTGGCGTGCCAGAAAAGCTAAAACATGACCATGACAATGTATTTGATGATGGTATTCTTTTGAGATGGTTGAAGTTGAGTGCGACGAGTGCGATGACAACTCCGACAACGATATGCAGAGATGAACACGCAACTGGAAAATGAGCACAGAACTTTGGAGGAGTAGTGGAGGAAACGCCTGAGGTTTGGCCTAAAACGAATGCAAACACAGATTTATTGCGTCGTTGATACGGAGGCCAGATGCAAGACAGGCGGATGCTGCACAACCACAACTTCAGGTGGTGAGGTCCGACTGTTAAAGCTTCATCAGTGCGATTTCCACCTCCAAAGTGACCACCCCTGCTCCTGGAATTCCTGCATGGTGTCCGATATGCAAACCCTATACACTCTGACTCACTAGCATGGAAGTGGAAAACCACGTGTTTGTAGAGGAAAGTAGTCATCCAAGTGAGCAGAGTTTTTGTTTTTATAGATGTATATAAAGATTTATATAAGCGTTAACCTGCAAATGGTTGGATGTAGGCATTCTGCTTGGGGGCGTAGGCTAGCGTAGGTATGTTTTGCATGTTTTTTGTGGCAGACGCCGCGGAGGCGACACATTTCGCAGCCCATGGGTCAAGAAGATTTATGCAGGAAGACTTTAGTAAGTATAACTTCTCAATATTTCAATAGCTACCTGGATAGGAGTAGGCAATACTAGCAAAACCAACATGCAATGGCTAATGGAATAGAGAACCATTGGACATACCACAGGTTGGGCCAACATGATGCAACATGTTATGTATGAAGCACTGGGTTTTGAAAACCACCCATACTTGCCAATGAACAAGCCTTGCCTTCCAACATGCTGCAGGGTTCGCGGCTGCCAGGGCTCAGTGGAGATGAAGGATGTCAAGGGAACGAGCATTCTCCAATGTGAGTCACAAGCCAATCACAAAGCATGGATAGTGCAGACAGAATCCGGCATAGAGTGGCAGTTTGCAACTCGTGGCCGCTCTAATGTTAAGGGCACAGTGGTGGAGTCAGTGCTTGGCAGCAGATGAAGCGTACTAGCATTTTGATTTCAAGGAGAACGTGCGCTATCCCATGGCCAAGGAAGAGACTGGTGACGAATGGCATGCTCAAAATAAGTTGAGCCTTACCGTTTTCGGCTGCACAGTTTACACTCCAGGGCGTCGCAATTTCAATTTCCTGCTTGTCTCTGAGGTATTAGACCACGACTCTCAGATGGCTCGTCTGTTGTTGACTCGCATCCTCAACGTTGTCCGGGAGAAGCCAGCCTATGCTTGGGACAAGGTCCGTCGAATACATTTGGTCTGCGATTGTTGCCCCCACTTTCGCAGTCGAGAGTCTTATGCCTTTTGCTTGCATGATTTGCCGAATGACCTGGACGTGCCACTAACCCAGTCTGCTTCGATATCTTTAATATCATTTTTTCATTGTTTCACTGTTTCCCCGTGCAGGAAACCACTTAATCACCTCCCATTGCGGTCTGTCCTTCGAATGTCCCCTGTTAGGACAAGACGCGCATCACTGCGGACACTCATGGTCTCACAGCGGAATTTGTACAGTGAAAAGCGAACCGAGCAGAACCACGACCACACAAGAAATCATCTGGATCCAAGCAATGGGATCTCCCAAGAGGAAAGTAACTTCGAACAGCCAGCGTCCATCATCTGAGCTAAACCACGAATTTCATCGGGAGCAAAAAAACGGAACAGCGCCCACGATCGCACCTTGAGGGAACGATCGGCCCTCCGATTTCCTGGTTTACAAACAAGTGTAGCCGGGAAACACCTGGTGGTCAGGAATTTTGCCAATGTGGACAAAGATCCTGCGCAGCCAAAAGGATAGATCCCGAAAGGTGACATCATCGCCACAACATGCTTCAAGGGTGTATCCGCGTTTCTGAAATAAAAATGCAAGTTCCATGTAGGAAGTGCAAAAAGCTTCACCAACTTTCCACGCCAATGTCCGAGCAAAACCAATAAAGGTTGTGATGTCGGAAGGAGAATGCTGGGAAAACCACGGGCCTGAAATGTCTAAGACATGCTCAAAGCGCCATGGAAAGTCAACAATGTTCTGGTTCCAATCCCACCGGACAAATTTCCTTTGGAGAGAAGTATTGTCCTCACAAGCAGGAATCTCATCAACAACTACCGTCGCAGGAACTTCCGGAGTAGACAACTCGTTCAATCGAGCCAGAAAAAAACTGTCGTGCAAAAATAGCCTGTTGCATCTGTGAAAACATCTGGACCTCTACGGGGAGAGAGGCAGCAGCGATCCGCTTGGCTGCTTGATCAGCCTTGCGGTTACACAAAATATTCTGTACTGTTGTTCCATGTTCGGCAGCGAAAGCTGGAGAAATGAGAAAATCAGGGATGTCATCCCCGACGTGTGAAGGGATCCAGAATAAACGCACCGGTTGGCACCCACCGACATCCCGTGAAACATAAATCTGCAAAATCGCTCGCCACCAGCTAGCATGTGTCCATGAGGAGTCAACACAGCGCTGAGCAATGAGCAAATTGAATTGATCGACGACAGATTTGCAATCAGAAAAAATGTCAATGTTGTGTGTAGCGTGCAAGCATGCTCTGTAGACAGCAAATAACTCCGCAGTGTACGAAGTCAAGACAGGGCAGCAAACTCTCTCTGAATGAATGCATATTCCTCGCTCATCGACCACGCTACAACCTGCCGTGGTAAGCCAAAATGACTCAGGAAAGAAAACAGAACCGTCCGTCCACAAGGAAGCTCGAGGTGCATGTGGGTTGTATACAGCACATACATCATCATGAATGGATGTGAACTGCAAACGATGCTTACAAATTCCAATCGGATGCTCACAGACTCCCAACATGGCGAAGTTTTCACCAAATTCGTGACAAGGAGGTTGGGCAAGGGGAAGAGCATCACACTCAAAGATCCAATGTGGCATAGATTCCGGTTTTCCAAGACAAAACCTACAAAGGTTAGAGTCGATTAAGTTTGCAGCGCACAAGCGGTCGTTCGTGAGTGTACAGCCAACAACCTGCGAGTCAAAATAAGGCAAGAGATTAGTTTCATTCTGAGTTGTTGAGTATCTTCGGCGAAACGTGGCAGTCAGAAAGGGGTCAATGAAGCCCTTTGGTTTGTTAATGTCTTTGCGTTTTTGGTCGGCAGCTCTTTCATAGCAATACTGAACGGCAAGAACTTGCAGTAAGCGTCTAAGCTCGCGAACCCCAACTTCGAGGAGAGGAATGACAATGTCATAAAAAAACAAGTTCAAGCTTGGGAGACAATGACAAGTGAAAAAGCGAAAGGGCTTGCTGCACTTGTAATAAAAGACTATGCTTTGGTAAGTCAGAACAGGCTAAAATGCGGCAGCATTGGGCCACTCGCCCTGGTTGAGAATGAATACAACGCCAAAAATTTAAGATACAGTTGTATGCACGAACGCAAACAGGTTCAACCCGATGAGGAATGGAAAGCAACGCGAAAACCAACATCTTAGATCGCCAATGAGGCCTGGAGCCCCAATACACAGAAACAAGTTCATTCTGAATACGCTCAAGTAAGCGCTTGGGGATCTTAGAAATCTGGGTTGCAAAGGAAATCTGAGGGAGGACTTTAGCTCCCAGGAGATCAGTTTTGACCTTCATTGAAACCGGCAGATTAGAGATATTCTTGATGTCAGAAATGACTTTACTGCATTTGGCAGGGTCAAACAAAAAGGAATTACGATCAGATGTATAGATCTTGGCACCTAAAACATCGAATTCCAAAGAAAGGGGCAACTGTGGAAAAGCTTCCTTTGCAAGAGATCTGGCATTGGCAGACGTTGCCCAAAGAACGCTCTTTTGGTGGTTCAAATGTTGTCCCACCATGAGACCCCACAGCTCTGTTGTACGAAGAGCTTGCTGCAACAAGTGTGAATTCGTGACACGCACCCACATGTACGCATCGTCAATGAAGACACGACAAGTGATATCGT